GGGCGTGCGGCTCTGGCGGACGGCGGCCGGGTGGATTCCGGGCCGGGAGAGACAGACCGAGAGAAAGGGAGGAGGCGGCGGCGGCGGGAGAGGCGGAGGGAGCGCGGGAGGAGGGGCCGCGGCCGAGCGAGGAGGAGGAAGGAGGAAGCGCGGACCCCGCGGAGACCCGGGTACACCGCGCAGCCCCAGCCGGTCCGCCCCCGCGACGCCCAGCACCCGGATCCCACCGCGCCTAGGCGACCCCGTGCACCTGGACCCCAGCCGCCTCTCCGCGTCCTCCTCGCCCTGCGCCAGGCTACGCCGCCCGGGTCCACTTTAGAATTTAACCCTAGCTACCTGAGCTGCGCAGCGATGCTCAAGCCCATCTTATGGACGCACATGCCGAAGCACTGTCCACACCGGCCTTGCCTTGAGTAGCTTTATCGGGGTACAGGAGGGACAGTGTAGGGAGGCGCGACATCCAAGTTAAGATGTATCGAGGGGTGAAATTGTACCTCATTGTGTGACCCAGGCTGGCCTTGAACTTGCGGTGATCCCCCTGCCTATGCCTCCCGAGGCAGATCAAGCCTAAATTCACTTTCAGCACATAAAAAGACAAATGTATACTTGGCCATCCAACTGGGGAGGAGGCAGCCGGTGTGCACGTAACAAGCCGCTGAGGACATGTGGACCCAGCAGGACAGGAAGTAGAGTAGGAAAATGGGGCAATAAGGAAATGCCGCTGGAGACAGGCCACAAAGGTACCACCACCAGCCGCAGCCCGGGGGGCCAGAGCGGCCCTGTTGGGGGCGGGGCCCCATCCTCCTTGACTCCTCCCTTATCCTCTGGAGAATGGACCTGAATCCAGCTATCAAGGTACTACCACCGTCTGCTTCTGTGGTCCTTCTTTGAGAGTGCCTCCGTCTCACTGGTTGGAAACAGACCCAGCCAGGTTAAAAAGACACCAGGCCTGGGCTTCCCCTGAACAGAGTCCCTACCAAGGAGCAGGTCAGGTCACACCCTAAGGGTGCAATCTACCCCACCGCCCAGGAGGCCAGGAAAGAGCAAATCCTGGAGCCAGACTCATCTGAGTTCACATCTAGGCCATGTGCTGCCTCAGGGTATGTTCAGTCCACCAGCTTCCCATTCCTGCCCCCTTTCCTGTGAACCAGGATCAGGCAGGGACTGACAAAGAATTAACAAGTACAAGTGTGGCCAGGCTAGCCCAGAGACTGGTAGCTCTCTTGGTGATAAACTGAGTCCAGGGGATGGGAAGGGACTGCTCTGGGTCCCTGAGGAGCAGCAGGTGGACTAGCCACTCTTGTTTGCAAGGCTGGCTTAAAGATTAACTACTGTTTCCCAGGACTCCTTAGGGCCAAGCCTGGCTGGAGGAGCAGGTTTCTCTGCCCTCCTGTGCTCCTAAGACATGTCTAAATGCCTTTATTGACCACGCTGGGCTGGGGGCAGGTGGATACTCTTCCTGCAGTGTACTGGGGCTGGCTCTCACTCACATTTACCATGTTGATAACCTGACATCAGCCTCACTGGAAATGTTTTCTCTTTGAAAATTGGGGAATGTAATAAATCAAGCCTTTGCTTTTCCTTCCCGAGTTGGTTGTTAAATATTTGCCAGCCTATCACTAAATCCATCCCCAAAAGTTCAACAGGAAGCTTTGGGCGTTTCTAGAACTAAGATAATAGAGGGCTTCAAAGCACAAGCTTTGGATTCATAGATCTAGGTTGAGGCCGGCCTCAACTCTACCACTTTACAAATATATGAATGAAAGCCATTTTTTCTGAGCCTCAGTATGCTAACCTGCAAAACAAATGAAGACAGCAGGGCCTCGGAAGGCTCATGTGAGGATTCTGGGAGGTAAGGTATATTTGGCACATGTGACTTCTATTCACAGCCTTGCACTCACAGATGCTGCTGGCTCTGCAGCAGAGGTAGTCTTCCACCTGGAGCTACTTTAGTTTTGAGGGTTCAGCTGCAGCAAGGTTCTTAAAGGAAGTGGCCCGCACAATGGTTTCATTTTTTGAGCTTTTGGGGTGCTCTTTATTTTTAACTATCCCTCTGGGCCTTTGCTTAGGCCATAACCCCCTACTAGGAATGCCCACCCCATCACCAGCCTCCCAACCCAAGGGCTTTGGTAAGGGTTACATCCTCCAGGACATGCTTCATGACATACTCCTGATAGAGGTATATATATCCCAAGTCCATTCTGGGTCTGTCTGTCCTCACCCTGAGGGCAGGGACCAAGGCTTGGCCCATGCCCAGCAATGAGATGGCACTGGCCAACTGACTGTGGAGAACACACTGCAGTGGCATCCGTAGACAAGTTCTCTTTCCATCACTGACTGTGGCTCTGCCCTCTGTGGGCCTCAGTTTACCTATTAGTCAAAGGAGGGTGACCAGCTCACCAATTTTCAGGATTATGCAAATAAGAGGGTTGTATTGCTGGTCTGGCCTGGTAGACAAATGACTGTATGCATTATTTTGCTTAAAATATTGTGTTAATAAAACAGTAACTTCATGCTTGATGTCTGCAAACCATTATGAAATGAACAGGGCCAGGTTGGGAACACCAACAGGGCCCCATCTCCCAGCACCAGTCACCAGCACCTGATAGGTTGTTTATTCATTTGCTTATTTTTTAGGTGGCTTTCACTCTATAGCCCACACTGGCCTCAAACTCTTGACAATGCCCGTCTCAGCCTCCCAAGAACTGGGAGCTGACTTGCTTAGCTTTGGCAGCCTCTGCGTATGTCATCATCCTTTAAAAGGAAAGCATACCAGCAATGTAGAGGATGGCTCAGTGGGTAGGAGCACTTGCTGCACAAGCATAGGATCTGAGTTGGAATCTCTAAAACCAACATAAAAACTGTGCACGGTACATATAGCTGTAACCCCGGTGGTGGGTCCCAAGCATTCATTGACCAGCCAACCTCACCAGAAAGGTGAACTTCAGGTTGAGTGAGAGACCCTGTCTGAAGGGAAGAAAGCAAAAGACACCGGGTGTCCTGACCTCTGCACATGCATATGCACACCAGGTGTACACATCCAGACACATGCATGCACACCCATACACAACACAGGCTTTTTTTGGTTTTTTTGAGACAGGGTCTCCCTGAAGCCCCAGCTGGCCTGGAACTTGCTATGTAGACCAGGCTGGCTTTGAACTCAGAGATCCTTCTGCCTCTGCCTCCTGAGTGTTGGGATTAAAGGCATGTGCCACCATGCCCTGCTCAACAACACACACATTTTAAGAGGGGTAGAACACTGATTGCACATAATGCTCTGTCTCAGACTCCTCTTCCTTCTATGGAGAGAGAAGGTCAAAGCTGTCCCTAAGGGCAAGATACAGGATGGAAGTGTTGTGGAGGCCTGGCCCCACACACCTGGCAATGGACCTGTCACATGGGATCAGGGACACTGTCTGTCCACCCTCACTCAGAGCTCTGGTGGCCCTGGTCATGAGTAGCTGATCAAGTGAGCCTAGCCCCAGCCCAGCTCACTCTCAGAGCAGTGATTGGGAAGCCAGACCCAACACAGGCACAGGGAAATTCTAGCCTAGCCCTGCCATTCCCTACATGTCAGTAGCTGACTACTCCAAGCCATGGGGCTCAAGACCATAGGGTAGAGTGAAGGGGTAGGCAGCCTCCAGCCTCCAGCCTGAAACTGGTGGATAAGCTTGGCTCTCTCTCTCCCTGGCTCTGAACTTCACAGTTTACACAAAACTATCCCAATCCAGCCCCTTTCAACTGCTGAGGCCTCCCTCAGGACCAGGTCTCCTTCTCTGTCAGCCTACTTTCTGACACACCTCCACCAAGCAGTTCATTCCTGCCCAGAGCCTTTGTACTGGCTGGTCTCTTCTGGAGTGCTTCCACCCCCAGTCCACTCTCTCTTCCACTGGTACTTTCTGAGCTTCTAGAAGGTGCCAAGATCTGGGCCTGGTGCTAGGGATACAGCCTAAACAAATCAGGTCTGGTATGTGAGTTGGAGGAACCCAAAGTAAGGGATGGGACGAGCATAGGGGGGTGGGGTGTGTGGCCGACCTGATGTGTTTTGGTATGCATAGAGTCTGAGGAGTTGGGACAGGTATGCAGGCAGAGGGACTGTGTGTAGAAACTGTTAGTGGGATGGTGGTGTGCTGGGGAGTGGGATGGCAGTGTGCTGGGGAGTGGGGCGGGTAAGGTGGGAAGGATGTGACTGAAGTGAACCTGGGGCCTCTCCTATGACCTGAGAAGCCAAGATCAGCAAGTGCAAAGGCCTCTGGCTTGGCTTCTTTCCCAGTAACAGTGGGAAGACATGGAGAGTGGTGAGCAGAGAAGTGGAGAGTTGTGGAGAGAGCAGGCAGGAGCAAGAGTCTGAGGCCTTGTGGAGATGGATGGCAGGCACAGCCTTGACTAGGCAGGAACAAAGCTGAGGCAAAAACCTGCCCTCCACAGTGTGCCCATGAGCACAGATCCGTGTTGTAGCGAGGCCAAGCATTTCAGAGACCTAAAAACCCAACACAGTGAAGAAATAGTTCAGCCTCCTACAAGCCAGAAAGCAGCCAGAGCCATGAGCTAGCCACCAGCAACTCCCTCCACCATTAGCGACTGGCCAGGGAAGCCACGCCCTTCCCAATGACTAGGGAGACAAACGTGGAAAACGCCATAGCTCTTGAGTGTAAGCAAGCCTGTCGTCCCAGCGCCCTCAGGAAGCTGAGGCAGAGGAATCACAAATTCAAGGCCTATCTGGGTTACAGTGGTAAGATCAGCCTGGGCAAATTATTGAGAATCTGTCTTAAAATGAAAAGAAGAAAAAAGACTGGGGATGTAGCTCAATGGTAAAGTGTTTGCCTAGCACAAATGAGGGGCTCCAGCTCTGGAAAAACAAATTAGACTTTCCTGCCCAGCCCCACCAGGCTCCCTAGGAGCACAAATCCCAGGAAACAGACAGCCTCCCAAGGTCACTTTGGGTTTGGGGTGGTGGGAGCTCCAGCCCAGGCCTCAGCATGTCTGTGAGGAAAGATGAAAGAAATCAGGCTCTTGCCTGACAAGAGGGCAGAGGGCAGGCTGGAAGTCTGCCGCAAGAGCAGAGCCGCAACACCCCCGCACCCCGCCTTGAGAGCTGCTTAGAAGCCTACTGAGAAAAGGATACGGTCTCTGCTGGGGGGCTTGGAAGAATGTTACAAAGACAATGTGCTCTGTGAGGGACAGGATGAGTAGAGCCTTAGCAGCCTGTCCTGGGTTCTGGGTGGAGCAGATTCCTCCTTCATTAAGCGATAGGAGATACCTTTATCCCCTGGTATGGATGAGAAATGAGGCTCCGAGCCAAGATGTGATGGCTACACAGTGAGGAAGTGCAGAATTCAGACATCACTAGTCTGGACTCAGACCCTGCCCCACCCAGGACTCACAGCAGCCCTCCCTCAGGACTTCCTCGATCTTCCCCAGGTCCCCCAGCACTCGGAGATGGAATGCAGCTATCTTTGCATTGTGCTCAGTAGAAAAATGGACTACTCCCCCTGGGGGGAGGGGCACTGGCCCCACCTCTCCCTGTGGGCCTGGTAGAGATTTCCTACCAAAGAGATCTGAGTGTAAAAGGCTGGGAGAGTAACTAACTGCATGGTGGACACACCCGAGCAACACTTGAAGTCAAGTGACCAAGGGCAGCATCAACAGTGCCCAATCACCTTGATATCTTGTGCTCTTGGCATGATGTCATGGGAATAGCATTTCCCTCCCAAACCCAAGAATCCCCGCCTAACTATAAGCAAAAGAGGAGACAAATTCCAAAAGATCTGCCTTCTGCAGAATGCCTGGCTTGTCCCAGCATGCTGTAAGTTTAGTACTCAGGAGTTGTAGGCAGGAGGATCATTCTTGGCTACATAGTGTGTTCAAAGCTGACCTGGGCTATGTGAGATCCTGTCTCAAAATTAACAAACACTACCTGGCTCGTACTCAAAACCACCCTGACCACCAAAATTAAGGAAAATCTGAGAAGCCAAAAGGAGCCTGAGGAGATAGAAGGGCACTGGGTAGGGCTGGGTATGTGACTCTGGTGGGAGAGTGTCTGCCTACCAGGCATGAAACCTGGGGTCCCCAGCACCACATAAACCAAGGGTGATTGTGCTCCTCTGTAATTCCAGCATTTGGGAGATGGAACAAGAATAAGAAATTTGAGCTTGGACCTGGGGAAGAGGCTCAGCAAGTAAAAACACTTGCCTGACAATCTGAGG